TATGCAAAACTGTTGTAAGAGAGTGTACAGATTCAAAGAGAAGATGTATCAAATGTGAATTCAGGAAGAACCTAAAAAGAAAGAAAGTAGGTTGAAATTATGGAGAAGAAAAAGATGGTGAGAGATTTTGTTTGTAGAAGATGGAAGTTGAAGTTGGATGTGAATGTCTAGCAAACAGATGAGATTCACCCCACCATCATTGGAGTCTGTGCCCAACCAACCAGAGATCAGTAATTGTGAATCAATATCTGTTGCTCTGCATGTATGAATGTTGTTTGTTGTTATGTACAGAGTCCTTTTCTATTTCTTTACTTATTCACTTCATTCACAAAGCTCAAGTGAGTTTATTTCTGAATTTGTTTCAATTCAAAGTGATTGAATAGTCGGAGGTCAAAAAGATGTAATAATCTGCTTTTTCAACGGTTCTGTTGCTTTCTCCAACATCTTTCTCTGATGTCAAAACTTCAATCGTAGTCTTCAATCTTCATCTTCGTGTTAATCCTCAAGTGAAGAACATCTCAATCTCTTCTTTAGAGATAATTATCGTGGTATGAATCTTTAAGATCTATCTTCTGAGCGTTACTGTATAGCCATGATAGCCATCTCATATATCAAATCGTCAATGGCAAAGCTATTCAAACTCACAGATTCCCTACCATATCATCACTTAGATATATGTGTTCACCCAGAAGCATTCCTACCAACAGGAAATCAGATAAATAATTCATACTGGTTTTCACTTCAGCAAGAGCTTCAGTTAGAGATCCCACCAGGCAAAAGAATCAAAGTTGGAGGTCAAATCCTTCAAACGGAGCTTAACCGCTCAACTGCTTGAATGTGAAATGGGAAAGCTATTTGCGCAGACAAGCAGACTTTTAATTCCAGTTCCGATTTCTTTCCATGAACTCCGTTATTCTAGTGATTTCGATCCAGGCTGCTATACTTTCCGTGGCCAAAATAAGGTCCGCGGTATATGATGTCCCAAGGTCGACCTCTTCACCCGCAGCTACCTAATCTACACGACTAATCCTCATGCCTACGCATATGTTGGAGATAGGTCTCTATGATATCTAGAAGTTGGTGAAGCCACTGAAAAATATTTAAGATTCCTGCATTTCGCATAAGGGAAAGAATCATTACATCTTTCATCACACTATTTCCCCACTTCATCGCTTCATCATTTGATCAAAATAACACTTCTAGATTTCAACCTATCAGTCTAAATATATCATCATGCCTCATCCAGCTCAAGCCAGCGGTTCCAGTGGATCTCACAAGCAGAAGTATGTGCACACTACCCATCCCCCTTTCCAACATCTTATTTGCTCCTTTTCTCCTCCACGATTTCCATGTTTGCGTTAGAACTAACTTTTCTGTCGTAGTACTCCAGCAAAAGGTCCCGCAAAAGCATCAACGGCAAAGATTCCCACCACGACTGGAGGTTCTAGTGGGACATCCCAACCAGGAAAAGTGACGAATGTTGGAACGAAGCTGTTGACGGAACGGGACTCAATTACAGCAACAGCAGCAGCAAACAAGATTGCTGACAACTACAAACTCAAGACAAGTCAACAAAAAGCCAGCGCCGATGGTGCTAGTAAAACTAAAGCAAAAAAGGCTGCGAAGTAGTAGAATTATATATGCGAGTAAGAAGCTTCACCTGGAAACATCAGTTGTGTAATCAAGAATCTTAGATTGGGAATTGTCATTTTGTTTTTGGGATCGGGGACTGGGAACAAATATTTAAATGCGTGCTTTAAATCACATCAACAAAAAAAACTGGCCTTTAACATTGTTTTTTTCTACTTTGCTTGAGTTTTCCTCTGTTGTGCTTAAGTTCTTTTTCTACGTGTCGTGGTGAGCCTTTTGAAAAGAGGTTTGAAAAGAGATTTGAGATCGTTAGTTATGATTTCTTGATTTTTTTAGTTTCTTATGACAACTGCATGAGTATGGAATATTTATGGTAAGAGAGTGAAAGAATACAATAGCAAGTTGCTGATTTATTTATTCTTTGGGTGTTATAGATCAATGTCTCTACATAGATAACTATTCCAAAATTACCATCGAAAACAAAAACTCATTCATATCAAAAAAATTTGATTGTTATCTGGGTCAGGGTATCCAGAAATTATATCTGCAGACTATATATATCCATATCTTCACACCGGAGTAACAATTTCATAACCCTATTACAACTCTACCCATCCCATCCATCCATGCCATTCATTTCTTCTTCCCCTTCCCCCCATCACCACCATCATCATCATTATCTCCCTTCCTCTCCTCCTCCCTTTCATACCGCCAACTCCTCCGCTTCTTAAACGCATTCTCCTTCATGTTCCTCCAAATCTGCTCTTCCAGCCTCAACAACTCCGCATCAATTTTCGCAGACCCATCACTTCTCAAAAGCTCAGCGCGTTCTTCTTGTCGCTTTCCTCGCTCTTCCAAACGCTTTTGCATCTCTGAAATCCCGTGTCGTGCTCATGAAGGGAGGGCGGCGATTTGTGCGGGGATTTGCTGCATCCCGTGGAGGATTCTTTCGCGCATGGGCGTGTGTGCGGAGAGGGTGGTGGCTGAGGTTCCAAGGAGTGCTGATGGTGATAGAGGGGGTAGGAGATTACTGATGAGATTTGGGAGCTTAGTTGCACTGCCAATAAGGAGTCTGGAGGTGGTGGAATGAATGCGTAATTTTTGGTTGAGGGTTTCGATGGCGTGGATAATGGAGAGGTGAGGTGGGATTTTAGTTCTGACTTTATCCATTTGGGCTTGCAGATGCGGATGAAGGAGTGAGGTGTTTCTTTTTGGGTTGCTAGCACTGGGAAGAGGTGGATTCTGAGACTTGGACCTAGTAGAAGGAAATTTATCATTCGACCCCTTCCCCGAATCCCCAGACCCCGCACCACCTCTCATATGCACCTCCGCACCATCAAATCGCGATTGCTCACCCTGTCTCACAGGATCCTCCACCTCCCCCGCTCCTCTCTCCCTCCGCGCAAAGTCCTCCGCAATTCTCTCAAATCTTGCCATCGCATTCGCACGCGCATGATCCGCAGCTTGGATTCCGGTTTCGCGAAACGCGGGATGATTCATTGATTGCCGAAATGGGGAATTCTGATGTGTTATTCCTAGTCGTTGGAGTGCCCGCGTGCGGAATATATTTACTACTCTGCCTAAACGCGGATCGTGGCTTTGAGTCGCGGGTACATGATGTATAGATCTGATTCCGCCTCGCTCGTCTTCGGCATCGTATTCTTCCTCGATCCATTCAGATGAAGATGAGTCCTCATATATCTTCTCATACATATCAACTTCACTTACCGACCGATGAATGATTTCTTCCTCCTCACAAAAATCATACACCTGGTTTTCCAAACCCAAGTCTCCCCATTCCTCTCGCTCCTCGTTTATCTCCACATCTTGCACCCACTCCAAACACCTCCTAAAAGTATCCCCCTCCCACTTCGCAAATACCTCCACATCCTCATAGTCCCACAGCTCGCTACTCTCCCCATCAATCTCCAAAAGTATGTCCGCACTTCCCGGCCGTCGCGTCTCCCCATCAATCCCATTTTCTAACGCACCGGAATTGATCCAGAGGAACAGTCGGTGTTGCGTTAGGGCCCATTGATCGAGTGGGGATGAAGAGTATCCGTTCCGGTCCTGGAGGTGCTTTTCATAGAGGGAGAGTTCCGCGAGGGAGGAGGAGGTCAGGATGTGTGTTGGGAAGAGGGGGATTTGATGCGCGAGGGCGATGACGGGCCAGGGGTCGATTCGGGGAGTTTGTAAGTTTTGGAGAGGTTGGAGGGGGATGGTTAGGGGAGGGATGATGCTGGGGATGCTTGATACGCTAGTTCTTAATCCCTCGCGATTCTCCATATTTCTCTTCGAAACGCGAGCGGAACTTCGAGGAAGAATCTGAAAAAGTCCCTTATTTTCTAACTCCTCAATCTCCCCATTCTCTGCCGAATCCTCCGTACTCTGATCTCGATTCCCTAGAATTGGACTGCGTGAAGGCGCAGTTGCAGATCCAGACATATCCATATCCACATATCCCTCACCATCTGCTTCTTCCCCTGCAGATAATTCTCGATATATTTCTCCTTCCCGTTCGTCACTAGAGGATGTATGAAGATCATCCAAAGTACGACGGAAAAGAAAGCCGTGATAATGATACATAGTGCGGATGCCGACTACGGGATATCTACATGATCGTAGACTTTGATATTGGCGGATATTCGTGCCGCGGTGGGCTGGCGGGGTTTCGAGTGTGTAGAGATTGTGAGGGTTGGAGATGGGGATAGAAGTTGGCAAGTTAACTGGTAGCGGAATTGCGAAATCCCGGATCAGAGGCGTAGCTGGTGGGTGTTGAGTTGTGAAGTTTCGTACCCCTGTGGAAGCTGCTGGTACTGCGAGTGCAGATGTAGAGTTTTGAGTTGTCTGATGAGTATCGGGAACTCGGTTTCGAGTAATCACTGCTCGGATTCTCGCGAGCTCTTTTGAGTTTTGATGATGGACAGTTGGAGACTTTGTGACAGATCTATCATCCTCATCTCCCAAGAGATCTGTATCATTGATATACTTAATCAATTTATCCGTTGTCGGAGTCGGAAATCTGCTCGAGGTAGAATATCGAACTGCGGTACCAGACTCATGAACTTCTTCATCTTGTCCTTCATCTACCGTCAAGTCCGCAACAAAAGCACCATGAAAAATCTCATCATCTGTCATCCGTTGATCTGCAAATTTATCACCCCCCTTTCTTTTTTCGGGGGTTTGATAGTAAATTGTAACCCCGTCTTCAGAATCGGAATCCGGAATAGAAGAGACGTCGAAATCTTCTTTTGTTTGTGCGAAATCGTCTTCGAGATTGGAGGGGCATGTTGGGGTGAACATTTCTAGGGGATGGTTGCAGTTTGGTGAAGACATTTTCGGGTTTTGAGTCTTAGATTGGAATATCTTGAAAGTTTGAAGTGGAAGAAAATTAATTGTAGAGTTACACTGAGTGTTCAGGAGTCTTTAGATGATGTGGAGACGTGTTTTGATATTAAAGTATTGACTGTTGAAAGATGTCGTTGTTTGGAAGTTGTTCAAAAGTTTTTGAAGTAGTTTTATCGAAGTAGTCTTATGAGAGTATCATGTAGATGAAAAGAAAGATGGGTTCCCTCTGCCAAGATGTATGTATTTAAAGATCTCGGAAATTCTACATACAGCAAGCAAGTGTTTAGGGCATAAGAAAAAATACGCTAGTATTAAAGATACGGTTTCTACGGTTGATATGCAAGATCTTCTATAGGTGGAAGATATGAATTGTGCTGTACTAAGGATCTTTGGCTAATTTCACCCAATGCAGATGCTAGATACCTGACGTTTCTGAAGAATGGAAATCAAACGTGAATTTTTGAACCTTATTGGAGTCCCAAGGTGGAGAAATCGGATCTTGTGAACAGGAGCCTTGTATTAGGACATTTCAGTCCACTATATCTTTGGTCTTTTTCCAATTAGCTTTAAAATTACAAAGATATTTATGCATATCATTTCTGGCTTATAGATATGTCGAGTTGATACCGGCGAGCTTGATGAAGCTAGTATACTCATTTCATTTGTATATAAGATTAGGGATTTACGAGAGCACATGACGCTTGATTTTCCGGATAAGTATTAGTGGAGTATACTTCTTTGATATATATTCTATAAGCGAAATGCATGCGAAATACATGCGATTTGATAGATCTTCAGACGTGAGACGTGAGTGGTGAAAAAAAAGATCGCGTAATCATATTCTAGCCGAAAATAAGCCCGTTTGCATTAGTCACGGTTTTGATGTTGATGATTGAAGATAAGATCACATTTATTATCTAAGACTTGTTTACAAAATACTTTTTTTTTTTAAAGTATTTCATACACTTTATTTTAAAAATCATTCGAAATATTGCTCGAATATCTGGTTGGTTACTCCACCAATCAAATAGCCAATCGCCCCAGAGTACGAAGACCCCAAAGATGCAGAAACATCAACCAAATAAAGCGCAAACTGAAACCAAATAATCGATCCCTAACAAATCCCAGTTTTCCTCTCAATCATCCACAAAGCAGCAATCATAACACCTGTCGCCACCGCCGCCAAACCAAACTGCAATTCGTCTTCGTCTTCTGAAGCGCTTCCATCAATAGAAGAAGTAGAATTCGAGATGGTACTAGAACTAGCACTAATAACTTCATCAATAGATTTGAAAATATCAACATCTAGACATTGATTTTCAGAAGTATCGAGATTTTGTGAAGATTTTTGAGAGTCTTCATCTTCCTTTGTGTCTTATTTGTTAGTGTCGGCCTGATGATTGTTGTTGTGATGAATACTACTCACTTCCTTCTATATCGGGTTGTTCCTGTAGAATTGGTTCTTTTTCAATAACTGGAGGTTCCATCACGGGAGAGACTTCGCAGAGATTTTGTTGCGGTTCTGCGATTTCTTCCTTGCTCTTTTCTTCAAATTTCAGAGAAGGAGTGATTTCTGGTTCGACTTTATTTGGTTGCTGAGATTGTACTGCCTGCTCTTCATCCTTCTCAATAATCTGATCGAGTCCTCTGACCCTACATCCGTCTCTAATGTATTGTTGGGTTATAGCAGAGTATTCTTGAATCTCATCGTCTGTTTGTTCGGCGAAGTCTGAAAAGATGTTGATTTCGCGAGATTTGTAGGCATCATGACTGGGATCATGGCTCTTTCCAGATTGATCATCCATATGATTATTATCCGCCTCCATATCTCCTGTCGCAACGGCTTGTCCCTCCCCATCATCTTTGCCCTTGTTCTCTACCCCCTCAATAATCTCTTTAGCACTCTTCCACTGATTATTATTAGTACCAGCTTCCCTCTCCGTCAACTCATTGAAAAGTGCCTCGAGAATCTGGATTGAGTTGTTCTCATCCCTATCCTCCTCATCAAATCCACATTCCGCTTCAGGAATGATCAATCTCGGAATTCGTTTGCGCATCTCAGTAGCACTCATACCAGGCATCTGCTTATTGAGGAAACCAGATGTAGATTCATAAATCTCCCTCTCCTTCTTCAAAGTATCTTGGAATTCTTGCTCATAAGCTTTAGCAGAACCTTGAAGTTTTGCGTAACGTGAAAATGGTCCGGTATTCAGATCTGGAAGAGAGTTCCAGAGAGTCTCGTCGTCAGCTTCGATGATTCGTTTATTTTCAGATTGAATTTCTCCGAATCTGTCTGCGAGCTTTTGAAGATCTTCTTCGGGGCTTACAGTGAGATGTGAATAGTCGACTGAGGAATTCATAAAATGATCAGAGGAACTCGCTGACTGAGGTTGACTATCCAATGACTTGCTCTTGAAAGATCTTTCGATTCTAGGTCTAGGTCTAAATCTCAGTCTATCAGCTCTCTGGCGCGCATCGTCGACATTAATATAGGTTGAATCTTCGATTGGCTCAACTGCTTCAATATCATCCACTTCGTCGAACAGTTCATTGAGAAGTTGTGTTGCAGGGCCTGGAATCGTTGTTCTCTTGGGACGTGGAGTTGCAAGATCATTGGCAAGGCCAGGAGTTGAAGAGAAGATAGACATGTGACTTTGAGTTGGAGGTTCAGATGAAGATACTTTCTTAGAAATTGCTTGTGTGACAGCAAATCCTGTGCTGAAGATGGCCTTAAGAGTAGGGCCGTCTGCTTGAGACATGCTGTTTGTTTCGATTTTTGATGATATAGATTGGGTAAGATGATTTATTCTCTGGGAGATGATCTTGGTTGATTATTGTAAACTATTTGCGTTGAAAAGATGATGTTCTTGAAAAGATTTGGAATGGAAAGAACAAGGTTTAAGAGTGTTTGTGAGAATCTTTTGGTACAGGAACTACAGACTAGTGATTATAGGTACGATTTTACGGTTGCGAAGTTCATTAGGAGAGGATAATAATACTAAGTTACTGTACTATGGATTATTGTCAAAGGATACTAGTCTACTTAGTGTCTACGGCAGTGGAGGTTTTCAACACGGCGCGAAATTTGTACGGCTAAATTTTGTTAGGGCTGATTCACGCAAACTAACGCAGTTTCTTCGAATCACCTGCGCCATATGTGTGATTGAATCAGCTACTACATATCAATGTAAAGTTTCTGAGCTCTTCTAGATATGCCTTGTTTGCCAAATACATACTGCATCGTCCAAGATACAGCTATAAGCATTACCTCAACCTTCATTTGACATATTCGCTTACGATCACGTGAGAGGTTGAAATATGGAACAATACAATCTAAATAGTCTTCTTAGAACGAACGATAATAAAATTTAACTCTTTAGTATATATCATAGGTTTTAATCGCACATCTTATATCGTAGTACTTTACTATAGATCTCATATAGTTAATTTCGAGTAGTGTAAAGTCTAATTATTATATAAATATTTCTAAGATATAAATATATCATTATATTTTTCAAGATCTATTTCATTCACTATTAAAATTTAGAGAAAGTAATGACTTTTATCTCTACTTCTTCCTAAAAATAATTGACTATTTTAAGATTCCCTTTCTCCTAGATAGATTTATCAATTTTCAAATTTTTCTATTAGCGCTTTTTTCTACATAAAACAATACTGAATTAGTGAAATCGAAATCTTGAAAAGACCTGAATTTTGACATGTTTTGGCGTATTTGCGTTTAAGATGTTTATAGAGTCGTGATAAATCACATTAAGTGGTCTTTCATTATATAAGAGATGAAAGAATCCTTCATTCAAAGGATTGTTCAAGCTCTCTTCAATGGTTTCCTCGAAAATATGATGGCAATAACAAATAACTAGGATACGTCCAGGGATAGTAGCAGAATTTTCTAAACTCAATGACTCACAGAAGCATAGCGATGATGCAGACCAGGGTCGTTTGTCTTCTTTCTAATGCCAGAGACACTGAAGAATTGTTCAGGTCTTTAGCACACACATCATCGGGAAAGGGCGGAGAACCTATTTTGATTTTTATAGCGGAGAGGATCTGATATTGAATCGACCGTAGATCTACGTTAAAACATGATCGAGATCGACTACATCTTCATATATCTTCTACCTTTGAAGCGCTAATCAGTTCTTGTTACAACAGCCAAGTGATTGGTCAGACCTTTCCTATCCATCTCGATGACCTGTTGCTTGCCTCCTCAAAAGAGAGGTGACCCGAGATCGTTTGACAACAAGCGTATTTTCACTCTGATTTTAACCTAAAAGAAAAGACTGCTGTTAATTGTGGAGAAAACCCTGTTTCCTTACCAGATCGAAAGGAGTGGCAATTTAAAGCGTGTTTTTGAAACAATGAAACAGTTATAGAGTAGTTATGAGGGAACTATATCTACAATAAATTACATTAAGGTTTTGAGGCATGGCGAACTAGAGTCGTGGTTGTGTCATATACTGGCACAAATTTTGGACCATTAGCACTGCGGGTAGTCATAATTTCCAGATAATACACGCATAATGATAGAGAGTGACGGGTACAGAATGTTATTAGCTACACAAGTATCTAAGATATAATGAAGAAAGGAGAACATAACGAAAAATGAAAATTACAATGAGAAGTGAGAAATATTATGAAGAAAGAAAAACAGAGCTTGTACCACTACTAGCAAAATCTAGAGTCCATCCAAGTATGCATGTTCAAAGTATTCTTAAAAGAGCTGCCCTGGACACCTCCAGGTTTATCAGTAAAATCCCCGGAGAATCTACAAGTCAATCTCAAAACGATAACTATGAAAAATTCAGTGTTGTAATTAGTATATAGTAGTATTACTGTGACTGATATTAGGAGTATAATATGTACACTAGTATATATAATAGCCAATGATATTCATATCCGTATATATTATACAAAAGGGATTATACTAATAATATACTGAAATACGGGAACTTATATATTTTTATTGTTTTATTACATATTTCTATTGAATATTGCATATTTTGAATAAGTTTAAGCCTAATAAGGAAAAAGATTAATGAAAATATATAAATTCCTATATTTCAATATATCAATAGTAATATTCAATATTATTGAAATATTCAATATTGCTAATAATATTCAATTCAATAATACTTATTAGAATATACTTCAAGAATTCAATACACACCATTGGAATGGGGCGTATTCAAAATACGGAAAATACTAATTACAACACTGGAAAAACTAGCTTTCAAGGCATATCTTTATAACCATCACAATTGAATACCAGACGGCTTGGTAGTAAGATTGGGACCAACTTACGCTATATGTGTTGATCGATGACGGTTGATCCAGACTCTCTTATTGATGGACCTTGATACAACCAGCAGCGGCACCGAGACCGGTTTCTACGAACGGCGCAGCACATCCAATAAAAGCCAAGACGATGGGCGGAATGGTGGCTCCTGCAGTTTCAGGCGCAGTCGCATTGATGCTTCCGAAGTCAGTGGCGTTCATCAACTCAGTGACATCATTAAACTGGACACCGAGATGTTGAGCGATCAAGTCACTGCTGTAAATGAGAGTGGCTGACACTCGGTCGGTAACAGAGGCCACGAGAAGACATTTGATGAGGGTTGAGAATTGCATTTTGAGAATCTTGGGAAGACTGAAAGATAATGAATGAGTTGGATGAGGTGGATGAGATGGATGAGATGAGTGAGATGAATGAATGAGCAGACTCTGATATATATAGTAAACTTGAAATGTTTTCATCGAATATTGGATATCAGACTTCGTATTCAAACTTCATAAAGCAATACATAGCATGTAATCGTCAGGTAGTAAGCGAGGGTCTCGATTAACGACGTCTCCGACTCCTAGTCGGTAGAAGCAGTCATGTAATGTCAAAAGACGCATGTTAGTTAAAACTTAAAACTCATTTCTAATTATCTTCAAATTGTATCAATGCTTATAGAATAACTAACATCTCATTTAGACAATTAGCATATGATATACAAGTTATCTTATTAACTTAAAGACTCATCAATCTTAATTACTAGGTGCATGATTATAGATTGAAGCTAGCAAATCTGATATTCAAGTGTTGTTACTGACGAACTGAAACTTAATGTTTTAGGAACACATTACCGGGTACCCCAAAAAAAACTAAACTACAGTGCCTGGAGAAAGTCGAAACCTTGGGCCGTACCTGTTTTCTCCTAAGCGCGGCGCTGTACGGTATGAGGCTCTGCTAGCTCGCTATCAAGATACGAGCTTATCTCGTAAATCGCCCAACCAGGTTCTTGATTCAAGTGAGGGACGTATCAGTAATACTTCTTGAAGTCTTATTAAAATTACGGATTCGAACCAGTGACGCCACCACGCTCGCTTACATGTAAGCTAGCAAGGAGCCCCGGGAGATCGAAAAAGCTTATTACAACTCATAACCTTATGGCGACCACAGCACACATGACATCAAATTCCAACGATTTAGCAGAAGTTGACACGGTGCGATATAGAGCGCCCAATCGGATAAATGATGTAGGCGGCCTTCGAGGTCGTTGATTCAAATGTACCATCATTTTGAAAGTTACTGTTGGTGGATAATCGAACTTTTGTTTCTGTAGCATTATCCGGCAGGAGCGCATCTGCGGATGTAAGCGGCTATATAACCTTAGCGATATAATCATGAGAAATACAACGCAGACATTTTTTCGCATAATTGAATTAAGCTTTGCTACAAAAGCTTGGTTAAACTAACTGCATGAACACAATACGCTAATCTAACTAGTCAGTGATTGTTAAATATTTTGCTTATGACAATTTATATCTCGCTATCGTGATATACAAGAGTGATACGAAGTCCAATGTGGCTTTTTTTGATTCGGTCCATCTGTTATTAAAATTGGGCTCAAATGCTGAATAATTATATTCATTGACTCTGATCAGTATAGGCAATAGTATTTCCCGCAATCCGTATACGGGTTAGTTTAGTGGTACGTATCAATTTTTTTCGAAATACATACGTATGTGGTATAGAATTCAATACCACTGAAAGTATTCAATATCATTTACTTATTCAATACTATTAGCAATATACTGAAATACGGGAATTCATTATAAAAAATTCATTCCTGTCCATATTAGACTATAGAATGTTTATCCCTTAATTAAACTTATACAAAATAGTTATTCCATAATCTAATATGGATAGGAATGAATATTTTATAATGAATTCCAGTATTTCAGTATATTGCTAGTATTCTTTAGATATATAAATATATACAAGAGTGATATAACCCCCTTTCCAAATGTACTAGCTGCAATATCAATATAATAATACACGCCACAGTTTCACTGTAGTATACCAATGCCTACACTGACTCTGATTCGGCCGCTTCCTCCTCAAATACGATATGATGCGGGCTAGATACCCCTATTTTTCGAGCTCTTCCAACCCCAGACCAACCTATGAAAATCCCAATGCAATCGAGCACAGGAGAAGAGGGAATCATTCTAGGTAGAGGACAAAGAACTTCAGGGAATGGAGTCCCTAATTCCATGATTTACTAGGAAGAAACTAAATTATTAAATGCAGTATTTTTATCAATACGATGCGTTGGGCTGGTCGGGACCGCTTTTATTGTACAGCCTCAAATGTATCGTCTTAAATCACCTACGGCGTACTAGCCCTTTATGCGAGCCTCTCTGTTAGTCTCACTCACTTCCGATTCAAATTTATAAGTCCTCCAGTGGAGCCTAGACCATCTAGTCATCCCATTCATAGATAGAATTGAGTCTATATTAGGGTTCGCACAGTGGATACAGATGAACCTGTTCCCCTATATTTAAGCTTAAACTTTATATCAACCTTAGAGTGACAGGTGCTCCATGATCAGGGACCCACGTTCACGTTGGTCGTCGGTGAAGGATTCAGGGCCGGGTCAAGGTACGTCTTACAAGAGTCTTTGATAGACTTTGAATTCATCAGCGGCATCGGCCTCCAGAGTCTAGCATATCCCCTGGTAATTTGCGCAGATAACAATTAAAGTCCAAAGGTATTCTTTTTTCCTCATTAAATTATTCTCAATCCTCATCAGCATCACTCACTTCTCCAACAACTTCAATAATATCCCCACGTGGCTCCCAGCGGGGATGGTCCACGAGTTCATCCTCACTTGCGCAGTGGATAATGCCCTGCTACATCACCAGCAGAACTTACCTCTTGTTACAGCTATCTATGCATCGTCATTCTTAAGTGCGCCTATTCTATCGCACCGACCTCGGCCGATAAGGAGATGATTGACAGCTGCGTCTACTGCCCTCCCTCTGCATTTGAAAATAGTGGCCAAAGAATCGACGAATGCGTTATTGTCGCTCAGTAATTAATGTTCCTAGAGCAAGCAGCCATGCAATCTTGGACGATGGATTAGATGGACGGATTAGGTGGATTTCTTCTTCTTCGCAAATTGATTTTTACTTTCTTTGGGTTAATTATTTGAAAATGGGGGCTTAGCTATATACACGTTAGTAGAAAACGGATGAATACTTCCAAAGTGTAAAATACAATGGATACTTTTCTCCTCTTCTACTTGCTCAATTTGACGCTTAGATAACCATCGCGCAAAGCTAAGTCCAAGACTGGCTTAAACTAAGCGGCTTTTCATTACGTAAAGGATAAAGAGATCTCTCAAAGATCTCTCTTCAGCGGTCTACACTTGAAAGTAGCAATCTTTACAAAAAGCTCGAATTTTTTCTTAAAGCAATAACAGGGATTTATTTAAACTTCGGTTCCTGACAGATCCCCCAAAATATACCTTTCCTAATAAGTGATAGCACGAACTCTAAATCCACTGTCCCTGTTTAGTCATCCCCCATGAAATATCTCCTAGTCCCCGTCTGCATAACAAATTAACCCGTCGGTTTATGAACATCATCTTCCTTATCCAGATACCCATTGGCCGGAGCCCTCCTATCGAGTACAAAATTGCGATCTTGGAACATTGAGATGATGGCTAAATACACTATTGAAGAGGGAAAAAAAGGGTTAGCAATTGTTAACTTCCTCTTTTGGTCTTTCTTGATCTGAAAGAGAATAAAAAGAGAGTCACAATGATACTTACTGAAACTTTCTGCATTCTTCCTGGCGACATCCAATTCCACATCCTCAGCTACATAATGTCATCTATATAAATCATCTCCGAATTGATCATTTGCTGATGGGGAATTAGTTTCTGCTTTTCCACTTTACACTAAATTCGAAAGACAGGGTTAAAACGAACTCAAAAATGGTCTAGTATGCGATATCTGTAGTAAGCAGTTAGCGTTCTTTCTTTCTCGAAGCTTCCTTAGAAAATAACAAGTTCAAAAGCATCTCACTTCATGTAATAACAATGCGTTGAAAGTAGATGTGATGAAGTCGATAGGTCTAGGATTCAAATGCACATCTGCATAGTCGAAATTCTCCGGAATATCGGAAAATAGATATCGAGCTAACTTGTTCGATCTAGGGTCTGCTTGTGCGTCTAATTTGTTGAATGCGTGGTCGCAAAGCTAGGCAAGTAGTCAGCTGATTGAATATGATGCTGTGAAGCAGATAAAATTGGATGGAATGAAAACTGTAGAGTCGCGTCACTAATAGTGTAGTTTGACAACTTACAGTGATTGTTGCACGATTTAGGTTATGATTTGTCTTCGGTGTACCTGGTTGTACAACTGGTCTGTCTTGTCCCAGATAATCGATATCTAAGAGATGTAAGAATATAATTTTCTAGATATTTCGTCCCTAGATAATAACTGATTCGGAAGGGAAAAGTTACATGTAATGGCACTCACACCAGCATCCTTGCAATAGAGTTTTGGTGTCGATAAATGATTCTTATTATCTGAGCATTTTCTCGAATATTAGTCCTCTATTTAAAATATATAGATCCATTATAATAGGAGAGCCATGTTAGATTGTATGATGAAGATGCTTACCTTTCCATCCCGTTTCTCCATCCTCCTGTTTTTTGCACCCAGCGTGCATCATTATCACAATCTAATTGAAAAATATCAGAATCGCTTACAGATTCCTTCCAAAATCAGAGAATAAACCTACAAAACCTAAGATCAGCATTGACCTGAACCTCCTCATGTCTCATTCCCTCTAGAGCCATGAAATATTTTCTCAGCGCTAGTACCGCCTGTCCATCTTGATCAACCACGTTATTGGAATTCCGGGTATCTTGTCTAAAAAGAACATTGAATGCCCTAGTAAAATCTGGATCGCGTCTTGCATTCGTCAAACGATCCTTTGCATTTTTTCCAACAGCTCTGAGTTCATCAAAAAGCACATCCCAGCGATGAATACCATCTCCAGATACAGGTGTACTGTTGGGTGCTTCGAGCGGTTTTCTTGGAACACAACTTTTGTCTAGCCAGTAGGTGAGAGCTTGAGTGGTGTAGGGTAGTAGAAGAATAGCAGGAATGAAAGTTGAGAAATGCATGATGTCAGAAGTCCTATCTAGGCCTTCAATTGCATTTAGTGACGTGAAGAATATTGTATTCGGATGAAAGATATAAAGTCTCTTGCCACTCCGCCTTATTAGTATCACAGCATCTACACCCAAACATCTTCCAGCAATAGTACAATAAAGGTTGCATTTCACATATCCCCTCCTCTGTCTCACCTTACTCGACATAACCACCGCCCACCAAATCCCCTATTCATTCCGAACCCACAAGCGGCAAAATGTACCTGACAATGTAGACTTACAAATCAATATCCACCCCGAAGCCGCCAAAGCTCTTTCCGCATTCCTCAAACTCGACACCACTCGAGACAGTTGCGGTGTTGATCTTCCTTCTTTCGAATAGCCTGGAGAACCCAAGATTCCCGTCGACATCAACGAGCGAGTAAATCCCGTGAGCGGAAAACAACTCATCAGATTTCTTCACAGGATCGGAAAAGCCATCGTACCCGCTTTCTCAGCCGGACAAGTCCTTGAACCTATGGTGATATTCGTCAAAGATGTACAAGTCAATCTTGACTTTATCACCTACAAACATCCTGAGGTCCAACAGGAAGATAGTGATCTCTTATTATATGGAGCCGATTCTCTTCATCAGATGTTCCCATCTTTAACTTTTGATAATTCGAATAAACTGCTGGAAGCTGTGTTTGCGGCTGAATATGCGAGGATTGTTGATCAAGTTGAGAATCTGGCTCTCTTTTCTCTCGCGAACAGGCTTTTGGAGAAACAATCTGATAAGGATACTTGTCCTAAGACAACTACTGGTGATGAAAATGGAATGATTGGTAAGTGATTAATGTCATATCCACTCGAGATGAGAACTTTGGAATTTAATGGGAAATAGAATGTCCTAATCCTCTTTGCGATGGAAAAGATGGCGTTTGCACACGGCCCATCGCATTTCATGGTCGTCCCTGTAGTGAATTCGTCTGTCCCACCAAAGATGACATCCCATACTGCGATGAATGCGGAGGAGATGATCTCAAAAGCAAATGCCGAGTATATACTTCCTTTCCCGTCGAAAAAACTCAATGCTAACTTCCAATCCAGGAACTACCCGAAAAAGGACAAAAATACAAAGGGTGCGAATGCATGGTAACCGAAATATCCTCCCCCTGGACCTCCACTAACCACTTATTCTACGATCTGCAACGCTTCATCGGGAAGACCGCCCCCCAAGAACCCGCTCTCAAATTTTCCTCCTCCAAATCCAAATTCGCAAACTGAGAAGGCGCAATATCAGCCATGGGAGATTTCTGTCGGGACACCAGCCGTCTACACTCCGACGTCGCTAGCGCCGATGAACTCAAAAATGGAAAGGTCATCAACGCCCACTACAACAACGGCGTCTACGATGAAATGGACGTGTGAATCACCCGGTACTAAAATGATCGCATTGACGAAGCTGGCTGTCGTAAATTCTTCACTGCCATCATCGACGGCTGCGATATCAATGAGAAAGATAAACACGGGGGATCCTACACCTACCACAAATCAGGAAACGCAAACAAAATCCTCATCGCTGAACTCCTCCCCTCCGGCTCTCTTCTCCAATCCGAACCCCGCTGCCCCAATCAAAACGGCATTATTCCGCTCCATGTAATGATGACAATTCCGAAGGCGTAACAGCCAACTCTGCCATCATGCAATGGTACAGCGATGACCACGGTAAACGAATCGACTGGTTAGTATGGAGCGATATATCCTGGCGCTTCCCAATTAGTAATCTCCACGTCCCAGATCGAAGTTCCTTCTGGCTGCGCGCAAATTTGAATGATGAGTGTAATCCAATTCATGGTGCACATCCCACGAAAGAAGTAATGTTTGATAAAAATCAATTTATCCGAGCCCTACACGATGGAATGGATCGATTTGACGATAAAAACACACGTACGCATGGTCATACCACTGAAAATAACTGTATAGACTATAGTATTATTCTCAGTGGGATTAGGCGTTCTGGCGGAACACCCTGGGCCACGGAGCCCTCCTTCCCACCCCCCGAATTTGAGCCCAATCTCGCAGAGAAAGACACCGCACCTTCCTGCGCTAGCGGACAAGTCGGAGGACCCTTCTTTTCAACTGATATTGATGCCGCGATCGATGGTTTCTGTACGGATGGGGCTGAAATAAAAGGATATGGTAAATACTGGGAAAACATGTATGATTATCCCGCGGAAGGACAACCGCAGTTTTACAATGATGATTTGTATAAAATGCATTTGACGATGGGGGCGGAGACGGTGGAGAATGGAGGGCCGGTACCGTATAAGAATATGGGATGGTGTGGGTAATTTATCTATCTATCCGGTTTTTATTCGATATGGAAGAGCATATAATGACTATAAGAACAGAGGATATGATTGGAAAATGGGCAGAAATGATTGCCTCTATGCTTTGAGAAGAATCTATCAAGATTGTTCGGATGCGAAAAGAATTCAAGGATTTACTTATACTTATCGATGTGTAAGATATAAGTCATGGCATATTAACACTTAAGATTCATGAAATAGAATCATGAACAATAGCGAGATAGCGAGATAGTGAATGCTTTACCCCTGGACTGAAGCGAGGAAGAGTTGGAAAGACAGATAGGGTGTAAAGAGTACTGTAGATTGTAATATTCCATATCATTAACAAATTTGTTTCCAGACATGAATAGGACTAAATTCAAAGGGTCTTTATTTCTTCAAAATCTGATTCTCTTTACAACACATTTCGAGGCGAATGAAATCGTTAGTGTTTTAGAGTACATAGCATGACTTTAATATGATTAAATTGAATATCTAATAAGCCTTTAACATCGAAGTCTACTGAAGAAAAAATTTACTCCTTGTTTTGTTTTTGATTTTTTCCCATTATATATTTCAACTTTTTATACAATTGAGTTTGAAAAAGACATCATATAACTATATATGGATTGGATTTCCAGATTTTGAAGAATGAAACATTCATAATCAATATATTACACACTATATAAAAAACTCTGTAAAATTCGAGGTACAAGTTTCTTCCGCTATACTCCGAAAAATTAGTTCTTATAGGCTCAATCATATACAAGAGTAATAAATTCCGTTCTTCCTTCCTCAAGGAACAACTATTGTTTGAAGAATAGATTCTCTATCTCCATCAATCTACTTATCATCCTTTTAAATATATAAATAGCACCCCTTGAAAGTACACACAACGCTTCTACTAGAATACTTACAACATCACAATCAAAATAACTCTAAACCCCAACCACCTCTGATTCAAACTCATCCAGACAACATAAATATCAAATATTCTAGCTAAACTCTCCCCTCTTTCACCTAGACAGTTTAAACCATACTCTTTATTCAAACTACCTAGCCAATTGATTGTGAATAAGTCAAGACAGAAATATAGACATTATTTATCACCATAGGAATATTTTCTCGTAAATGCACTCCTACCCCCCCTTATCTCTCTCTTACTCCCTCTCCCCCTCCATCTCCCCTCAATTACCAATCCACCAACACTCAACAGATTACCATCCTATCGATTTTTTTCAACTTACCCATGAAATTCACTTAAGCTTCTAAGTATGTAGTCCGAGTCCACTTAACCTTTCCAATCCACTGAGCCCCCCAAATCCCCCCAATCTCTATATCTCTATATCTCTACACCTTCGTATCTCTAAATCTAAATCGCTCCTTCCATAATCCACCCCAAACTCTCACCCTCTCACCCTCAAACCCTTTCAACTAAAACCAAAACCTAAGCACAAACATTCTATCCCATCCTACCTCACCCTCTCACCCTCTGAATCCCCCAATTAAACCACTTAACTTCTGTCCCTGTGTAGCGAGACGCACTCTATCATGAGACCAGTGTAGGCAATAGTATTTCCCATATTCAATATACGGTTAATTTAATAGTAATTATTGAATTTCTATAAAATATTGATATATATAATATTGAAAACTATAATATAGTTTATCAGTGCATGCACCATATTAGTATATGCACCACTCATTTTATATACAAAATTTGTTTGTATATAATTGTGCACTCTCTTTATTTATTAATATAATTTGATTTTTCCTAAAAAACTTTATAGTTATTCATATAAATAATAAGAATTTCTAATCAATTATTAGAAATATGATTTAATATAATAGTTATTTTAAAGAAAGTTTTTTTGTAACGAAAATCGTGACAATTTCAATCTTTTTTAAAATATAATGAAAATATTTATATAAAAATTATATTTTTTGAATATTTAAATTATACTTTTTATCATACAGTTTTTTTCTCAAAAAATAATGATTAATTATTAAAACACAAATATTAAAAAACCCTGATTTTAGTATAATTTTGAAGTGGTGTATGTACTGATATGGTGCACGCACTGATAAACTACGTTATCACTAAAATTATTCAATATTAGAATTCACTATAAAATATTTATTCTTATTTATATTAAACTATAAAATATTCATTACCTAATTCGAATGTCAAGGTACGGGTAAAGACTTATATTGTACCATAAGGGTAGAAGAGCTATGGAAGAGTGAGGCCCTACTTATAAGAAGTAGGGCACGCTAGTGGTCTATGCCTGAGGCACTAAGGCAACTACAGAACATGTAGTTGGCGCCGTGACATCGAATTATATAAAATGCCCATTCCATAGCCTAATATAAATAGAAATAAATATTTTATAATAAATTTTAGTATTTCAATATATTAATAATATTCTTTAGATATATGAATATATATGAAAATAGTATCACCCCCCTTCTAAACATAATTATTAGTTGTTATATAAATATACTAGTACACGCCATAATTTCATTATAATATACTATTGCCTACACTGCATAAGACAAATCTATAGTTTTGAAATTATAAATGTTTTCTTAACAACTCTATGAAGTTGTTACTAATACATCACTTCCTTCAATTATTTCTCTTTGAGGAGATCACTTAGCAATAGAGAATAGACTGTAGTTAATTGTACTCTCGATCGTTTTAATCACGCCACCTATCGCCGCTTTGGCTGTTCCCCCCTAGTGACTTACAACCATCAGAGTCGTTTTAAGATGTGGAGCATCTGGGGAAAGACCCTAAAATAAAAGAATATAGCTTTGAATTTTAAAGAAACTTGGAGGGGAAAAAATATGGAGTTCGAGAGTTTCGCCGTTGAGAGGACAGGGCCACATGTCTCGGTGCTTAGTAATGTGCACTAACCTAGTCAAAATATACTATGTTCACGCCCGGGCTCGCTATATACTACTTAGCCACGATTCTCAGGACTGATCATGTGTGGCATACAGTGGCCACGAGCGTTGCGTCAGAGCAGGATTCTCGAACATTCTATGGGTAGGCGGCAGCACTCTGGTGCCTGAGAGCTGAGCGCCGTCTCTCACCCCCTTCTCCATTACCATCGCGACGGCAGTGTGATATAGTGCGGCCTACCGTACCGTAGTATCCGTGAGGTTTTCCTCGTCGAGACACCGTTATTAGGATTTTGGTAGGGAAGCAGCCTCGCTTAGGTGGTCGCCCGGCTGCTTGACTCCTATGCTGCCGTTGAAGTAGCACGGTCCGCTGCCCGTGCTTCCACTCCGTTCCAATTGGTAGTGGCCCGGGGAGCGGCCACGCACAATGAGCTTGACCGATTTCCGATAGGCGATCTTGATGTATCTGTCCGCCGCTTGTGAGCCAACATCCGCCCATAGCTCTACCACCAGGTGGTAGTACTGCTGTGCCGCGCGTCTCTTGCCGTTGTTGGCCGTGGCTTGCTTGAATTGGATCCGTTCAAAAGTGTGTTTCACCGGATATAAGCTATGCACCTGCCCGTAGTTCTGATCATACACGGTTCTCGAGGGGTCCGCTAGTTCAGAGTCGCCGCCTGGATGAAGACCTTCATGAAGCCCAGGCTGTAGTTTTTTCGGCGAAAGTCGCACTTTATCAAACCGCACCTTCTCGGGCCGCTTGTCTCGCTTCGGTGCGTGCTGCACCAGGTCGATTGACTGTCCATCGTTGTCCGCGACGACCGCCGAGATGCACATGGCAAACCCGTAGACTTGGTAAGTGTGCACCGTTCCGGTCTGCACAAAGTGCATGCTCATGTCGGGGTAGTACGGCGTCAGGCTGTAGGAGCAGATGCACGAAAAGTAGTTTCGCCTATAACAGGTCCATTCGTTATCCGCTAGGAAGAAGCCTTTGTCGATGATGGCCTCAATTTCGATATCGATAGATGTCGCACCACCTGGGCTCGCATCGATGTACTGGAGAATACCCAGTGTCGTCTGGGTCACGAGAGAAGGGTTATTTCTCGTCGTGTACGGATTTCTGGTCGAAACCAATGCTTCTGGATGCGATAACGTCGTCTGTCGAGCGGATTTTGCCATGCCATTGTGATAGTTGCTAGTACCACTTCAAATCAGCTATTAGTCCCTCCTGGCCGTTCAAACCGGATTAGTGTCTGAACCAATGCTTACCTAGATCCCAACTTGACAAGCAGCAGCTTCACCAACGCCTCGTGTCTATTCTCTGCCGCCCACTGGAGCGGCGTCCAACCGTTACTATCCTTAGAATCTGGGTCAACGTCGTACTCTGTGAGGAGCAACTTCACCACCATCTCATGCCCATTCTCTGTGGCCCACGATAGCGGTGTCCTATCGTTATTATCCTTGGAGTCCCGGTCAACACCATACACCGCAAGTAGCAGCTTTACTACCGCCTCGTGCCCCTTTTCAGCAGCTAGGGACAGCGGCGTACATCCACCAGAATCCTTAGAGTCCGGGTAGACGTCGGACTTCGCAAGAAGCAGCTTTACCACCGCCTCGTGTCCGTACCATGCCGCATATGACAGTGCTGTCCATCCACCAGAATCCTTGGAATTCGGGTCGACTCCGACTGTCGCAAGCAATAGCTTGACTAGTGTCTCGTACCCGTACCATGCCGCATATAATAGCGGAGTTCTGTTATTACTATCCTTGCAATCTGGGTCAACGGTGTCCTCCACAAGTAGTAACTCAACCACAGTCTCGTGCCCGTTTGCTACGGCATGCGATAGCGACGTCCAGCCGTCGGTGTCCTTAGAACCCGGGTCGGCGACGTACTCCGCGAGCAAGAGCTTTGCTACTATCTCATGCCCGTTCTCCGCGGCCAACGACAACGGCGTCCGGCCATAAGTATCTCGATAATCTGGATCATGTCCATTCCTGACTAAGGCTATCATCTCTTCTCTCAGCCCGAAGTATGCCGCAAGATGTGTCCCTGTCATTTGCCTTGGCACACTTTGGCTGTACCCATAGTAGCCCGAAGAGCTTCCAAAAGCCATCAAAGCTTGACTACTACTAGAGATCTTCGCTTCGTTCTCGAGAAAATTCAGAATAATTTGTCCTACGCCCATTGAGGCTACACGAACGTGATGCCCCCAATTTCGTGCCGCATAATCATAAAGAACATTCGACCGCAATCGTGCCTCAAACTCCTCATCTGTTGGACAGAAGCCGCTTTCGAAGGCATCAAATGATAGGTAAGTAAGGCAAGTCCTCGCGATTTCCGCCTCTGCGTCTGGAAACCGAAATCTCTGCGTTCGTTCAAAGTACTGCTTTGCTGTATAGTGGACTAAGCGGACAATATCGCTCTCTTCGTCGACGGTGACTAACCCGGCGCATACGGCTATAATATCTTCAATTTCTGGGACGTTCTCTTCATCAGCTTCTGACTGATCAACTTCCACGGCAAGAGCGTGCCGAAGCTCTGCTGTGGTTAGGGGTCTCTTCGCGCACGTAATCCATGATAGAACCTGTTCCGCAAGCTCTCGAGAGTCTGCAACCTGGCCTTCGATTCTCTCTATGGCTGCATTATATGCATGATCATAAGCTTCGTATCCATTCGGAAGGTTTTTAAGCGCAGTTTTAACAGCTCTGGGCGATCTCTTGGCAATTAAGGAATCAAAGTGAAGCTGAGCAAGCAAGAACCTGGCAACAGTTAGAGCGTCTCGTTTAGAAAATAGAAAAAATTCAAAAATTCATACATACATTCCGTCGACTGTTTTGACGATTTCAGTCTTGATTTCGTCTTGAAGTTTCGGATAACGCCTAACAAATGCTGGTAACTGTGACAGGCGACCATCTAGATACAGCCGCACATCCTCATTGCTGGCACGGATCTCCAATGATATACCTCCTGCAAACTTCTGAATTATCTCTGGGATAGGTCGGGAGGTTGCGAAGAGATTTACTCCAATCTTAGCTTGAAGGCTTAACATCTCTTCTATGAATGTCTTTCGACATCCATCGGAGTCTTGGCATTCATCCAACGCATCGACGACAACGAAAACCCTTGAGTAGATAGCAGTGACGGAATGTAAAATTCTCGATATTTCGTTAAGTGATGGTTGCTTTCGGTTGTCTTTATGCCGATTATAAAGGGCTTGCACGCTGTCAGGTATAGAAGATTGGCCTTGAATCAGCTGCCTCAGAAGATTCCGGAGTAGATGTTCCGTCTTCTGTTCATGCTGCTGCTGGTAATCACAATATAGAAACGCGATACCAATGCTGCCGTCGTTGTCAAACTTTGTACTGAGGTGGTCGACTACGATTGAGGTGATAATTGTCTTCCCCGCTCCGGGTATGCCTCGACAGAACAATGTCTGCTTACCAGTATTTAGCCACGACTGGAACTCTGCCGAATTCAGCAGCCATTGCCCTGTTCCTACTTTTCGCCGATATATGAAGTCGCTTTGTTGAGGAGCATTGTCGATTGGGGTAAGCCACTCGAGAATTGCACGTCGCTCGCGGTCATCTCGATCCTTTTTCAACCCGTCGACACCCCTTCTCAAATCCGCATGTGATTCCTGAATGGAGGTCAGGATGTCCTCGAAATTCATAAACTGCCTCAAATTCTCATTCGAAGACTTCTCAAGAGCCTGTATCAGTTCTTCAAGCTGCCTTGCGCCCTCATTCGAACACTTCTTCAACTCCAGCATCAACTTTCTGCTTCTGTCAGTGATCTAGGACTCTTGCTTATACGGACTGCCAGTGTCAACACTGAGAAGCAGGGGGGTCTACTTTGCTATGGGCGGTGTATCTGTGGCATGGGGCAAGGATTATAGACCAAAACGCCCTTACCGAGAGTTGTTGGCCAAAGCCAATCCCAGCAGACTCTTTTCGTGTTCAATGGTAACGATGATCTTTTCCACCTCTTTCTGGTCGAACGGCCATTTCAAGGTCAACAGCGCCTTCCGCAATCCATTGTTAGGCTCAAGCTTTATTTTGACGGCGCTCAATGCAGCCCACAAACGTCCCAGTGGCCCGTCGGAGGCCTCGAGAGTCTTGATCGTCTCAGTCCACTTGCTCCCTTCCTCCGTATTGTTTGCTTCGTCTTTGAGTTGTTGGAGGATTGATTCACAGCCAAGGACCTCGTTTCGAAGACGCATTCGCTCTCTCGTTGCATCGGCGGCTCTGCTGATGTAGCTGACGATATCTGAGGATAGCTGGATGACGGCGATGATGCTTGCGGTCGTGCTGAGTGGATCCATCGTCTCCTTTATCCTCGGTCAATCTTAGTCTTCTAGTAAGTTAAGCGACATGCTCATAGAGAATTGGCGCAGAGCATTGAGAAACCTCAGAATACACGTCTTCGTGGCATTTGGCGAGTTCTCCACATGCTAGCTGAAATGGTGTTATAATTCGTCAGCACAGCCACCAGTTAGGTGCGCCCATCGCTGACCGCGAATTACATCGCGGCGTAACTTGGCTAGCCACTTGCATGGCGAACACGGACAGAATGCGAAGGGCGCTTTCAATTTATTGGAAACTCTACGATACTCCGTAGATATATCAAATCCAAATCACATCACATCACATCACCAATCTCAATCTCAATTTTCACTACACCTCAAACCCTCTAACCCTAAGTTAAATCATCATAATAAATTCTCATTTTCTATCCGAAGTCTTCACGTTCACTCGCATAGCAACAAACTATTTCTTAGTAACTACCTATCATAACCCTCTCAGCCATCCCTGAACTTCCCCTCTCTAAATCACATATGTAATGCTATCCCTCAATCACCAACCTTCAAATCTTCACCTCCCCACTCTAATTCTTCTTCGCATCCTTCAACCCCAACTCCCTATAAAACGCTTCGGTACTAGGTTTCCTTCCCAAGAACGCCTCCAAAGTGGTCATTTCATCTTGACTTCCACCCTTCTCAAGCACCATATGTCTATATCTCCTACCCTCCTTAGGATCCATTGGATTCTTTTCGAAAACCGTGTAAAACATATCTGCACTATAGACTTGACTAGACAAGTATCCATAGTAACCTGCATCATACCCACCAATCAAATGACCGAAAGTAGCTTGACCATTGCCCCAATCACTCTTTGCACCTAAAGCTTCTGGACCTTTAAGACCACAGATTTCTGCTCTAAGTTCATTGTACAATTCGCTGATTTTGAAAGCTTCAGCTTCTGCGTGGTTCTTGGGAGTATGAACTGTCATATCGAAGATACCAAAGTGAAGTTGTCGGAGATTGAAAAGAGCGCCGTTGACATGCTTGGTGCTAATTTGTTTGGCAATCAAATCATCTGGAATAGATTCACCAGTGAGGTAATGTTTACTCAATTTTTGCAATTGACTTGGAGTCCAACACCAATTTTCCAACATTTGACTTGGTGCTTCGACAAAGTCACGTACGGTGTTTGTACCATGGAAACGAGAGTATCTGGTACGACCAGCTAGATCATGGATACCATGACCCAATTCATGGAAGAGAGTAACAACCTCATCATGTTTCAAGAGTGATGGTTTCTTATCGGTTGGTTTGGAGAAATTGCAAACGAGTGCTGTAGCAGGATATCTTCTTGTACCATCTGGATAGTAGAAACCAGATTGAATACCGAAGTTTGCAGCATGGCCATATTTTCCTGGACGTGGATGCAAGTCCAAGTAAAGATAACCGACAAATCCACTACCTTCACCTTCATCATCCCAAACGGTAAAGAGTTTGGCATCTGGATGAGGTAAAACATCAGAACCCTTTCCAGTTGGTGAAACCTTAGCTAATTCCTCCTCGCTGCTGATATCAACAAAAACAAATCCAAATAACTCCTCGAAGATCTTAAGCATTCCTTCAATTGTAGATTGAAGAGGGAAGTATTCCGCAATCTTATTTTCATCGATAGAAAACTCATTCTCCACCATCATTCGATCATAAAATCGATTATCCCAAAGATAATAATTATCATCAAATGTAGAACTCAATCCTCTAGCATCCAAATCTTGTTTCTTAAGAGCTTTAAGATGCTCAACCTCCTTGGCTCCACCAGGAGTAAGCTGAAGCTTCAAATCGTGCAAGAACTCATTAACTGTAGCAGGAGTCTTCGCCATCTTATCCTCAATCCTGAAGCTGGCATGATCAGGATATCCCAATAATCTAGCAGCCTCATCCCTAAGAACAATAGCTTCCTTGAACAATTCCACATTCTCCTTGCATTTGTTCTCATTCTGAATAAAGACTTGTTTTCTGGTTTCCGCATCCTTCGCGAACTTCAACGTAGGGAACAAATCAGGGTATTTGAACGACAACCTCAATTTTCCCTCATTTTCGCCCTCACCCTTCTTCAATCCCGAGATGACATCCTCGGGAACTCCATCAAGTTCCTTTAATGTAAACCAAAGTCCTTCATCCTCCTCATTCAAATTCTTCTGAAATTTAGTCGCAATAGCAGCCAACCTCTTGCTAATCTCCTTGAATCTATCCCTCTTCTCACCCTTCTCAAGCCCCAACCCATTTCGAATATATCCTTTATATTCCTTCTCCAACAGTCTCTTTGATTCCGGATCTAAATCTTCGTTCTTCTTGTAAACCGCGTCGACCAATTTAAAAACATCTTCTCTCATCGCCATCTCAATCTGCGCTTCATCCATGATTTCCTCCGCTTTAGAACTCGCATCGCGGAGTTTCGAATCGCCAGAGACAGCTTGGTAGAAGGTAAGAACGCTGATTTGAAGCGAATCGAGATCATCTTGGTTGGCGGTAGGCAAGAGAACATTTGCGAAAGTTGCATCTTCCGGTTTGACGTTTGCAACGATATTGTCGAGCATTTTTCGATAGTTATCCATCAAGGCCTTGGCCTCGTCAACAATCTGGGATTCGGTATGGGTAAAGAGAGGAGGAGCCTGAGGAGGCGTTTGGTATTGAGAAGGTGCCATGGTTGCGGTAGTGATGAGTCGTGTTGAGGTTGGATTGATTGTGGTTGAAAGAGGGGACCAGAGGGGTCTTATATTTGCAGGTCTGAGTTGACTAAATAAAGCTCCCAGTCTGGGTCCAATCCTTGAGGTAGCCAGAATGACAGATATGGAAAGAAAGATGAGCAGTAGTACAATGAGGGAACGTATGATACGTGTGATGGAAGCCAGGATGAATGAAGTTGGTTGGGTATCAAAATCCCTTGGTGATTAATTAGGCGTTTGAGAGCTGTCAAGAATGGAAGGTATGACAGATATGTTGGTGGGGAAGGGAGCGTGGGTAGCTCTAGGTGGATATGAGATGATGCAGGCACGCATTGAGTCAGTAGAGTGTATGTATCTATTTGTAACCTTGGGCGAATCAAAAAATACTCAAGATGGGCTTTGGAGAGATATGAGGGACGGAGTCTCGAGGGAGTGAGTACCAACTCATACCCGAAAATATGGGGTACCCAGGTAATTTTACATATCAAGTAACAAGTAATAGATCAACGTCTCATTATCTAGAAATAAATTGGGTTCCTTTCTGTATTTCCATCTATGGTATATCAAATGCCATGATTCTATAATATAAACACTCTTCCTCCCATGCAATATAATCTCCCCAACCACCTAACCATCTTCATTATCCTCCTCCCCCATCCTCCCCCATTCTCACTCCCAAACTCCCACCCCCGTCCCAAGAACCTCAGCATCCCCTTCCAAAACCTTCTTCCCACTCCTCATAACCGCCGTACTCATCAACGATCCCCTCAACAAATACAAAATCTTCCCTTCGAATGCCCCCTCCCCCTCCCCCTCCCCCTCCCCTTCAACTTCTTTCCCCTTGCCACCTCTATTCCCCTCCGCCCACACCTCATACCCAACCGCCACCGCACACCGTCCACATTTCCATACTCCTCTCTTCTCAAACCCATCTTCCTTCCGTATAATCACCTGTTTGTTGGGTGTCGTAAGAGAAAGAAGATTGGTATACCCATAACTTGGTAACGAATCCCCCTCATCACCATCCTTCACGCCCTGTCTTCCATTCTCCCTCTCCTCTTCCCTTCCCTCTCCATCCTCCGCAGATATCTCATCTCGAGTGACATCCATCGCATCCCCATCTCTCTCCTTCTCCCCTCCAAACTCTGGCACCACTCCCGAAATCGGCAAAATAAAACTCCCATCTCCTGTCCCCTTCCTCTTCGGAAGCGTCGAAATCGTATGCGTGGTTGCCAGTAGAAGATTCGTACAGTAAGCGCAATGATACGTATTAACTTTCGGGGAAGACATTGTGAAATTGTGAGCTGGTGAGCTGGCGAGCTTGCAATATCGTCAACTCCCACCCTCTCCTTCCAAATCCTTAATCGCAAAAGATCCGCAGAAGATCCAACAACTTGAATCTCCAAATCCCCAGCCTCTTAATAACCCGCAGTTCGTTATTCAACGATGCAATTCGGCAATTCCGCAATATCCTCAAGAATCTGCTTCGAAACTCTTTCGCTACAAATCCACTCAGAATAAAGCACAAGATCCGAAAGCTTTCATGCGCTCGATTTCAACTCGAGGACGAGGACAATTCTTTACTGTGTAATTATTGATTGAGCTTTAATTGTCAATTCTTATGTTGAGATATGACAGACTTCCAATTGTTTACTCTGTTGAAATGTCAAAGTAGTCTGAGTTATTACGTGAGTGCAAAAGAATTCCAAGTTGTGTCGTGTTTAAAGAAGTGAAAGAAATATATTTACATTTAATTCCCAACACAGAAATACAGCCTTGAAGCTTGATATTTCAGCCTTCTCTTGAGATCCCATCACAACTTGCCTGATTGATAAAATCAAAATCAGCAACATATAATATAACACAATACCAGCTAATCAATTTCCAAATAAAACAATGATAACCCTCATACCATACATTCACAATCTCCTCATCATATCAAAATCTACACACTTCAACTTCATCTAGAAAAAAATCATAATATCCATTTCTGCCTTTGCAGGCCTAAAAGTTCATTCAACGCCATAGCCATAGCCATTATCAATATCCTTCCACTCCACAGCTCCTATTTATGCCGTCGCGAAAAAGTAATTCCTACAACTGATATGATATCTCCATTCCTCCTTACTTGTATACCTTTGACTCTCTTTCTCCCAGTCTGGCCCCATTGCATCTCTGCTCCCCTCCCAGCAATCTTTTCCACCCTCCACCATAACGAAGTATAAAATCTAGTTTGCGAGGATGGTTCGTACGAGATCTATAATCCTTATATTAGCTTTTCGTAGTCCCATTGCATCTCCTCATTTCCCAGCCCGTCTTCTCCAAGAAATCCCCTAAACTCACCAGTATAGTTAATCTCCCCACTACTGGTATCAACCGCCTTCAACAATTCATCCACCTCCTCATCACTCATTTTCTCTCCCAAATTCGTCAAAATGTATCTTAATTGTCCAACTCCGATAAATCCAGTCATATCCTTATCGAATACCTGGAAACCACGACAGTATTCCTCTGGTTCACCTGGGTCGCGGAATCCACCTGGTCGGTTGAGAATCTTGGAGAAGGTTTCGAAATCGACTGCGAGAATATAGTATTAGTACCGACTCCATAGTGTGATATTAAGAAGAAGCCCCATAGCTCTCTGCACTCCACGACAGTAATTCGCCGAATATCAAAATTGGAAAACCATCCTCTAACCCTGCTCAAAACAATAAATAAAACAAACTCACATTCACCACCAACATTCTTCTCCAACTCTCTAATCTCATTCAAAGTAGGATTCTGACCGCACGCTCTCAACAAATCTCCAAGTTGATCCAATTGCACACGTTGAGTACCGCGTTTATCGAAGAGTTGAAATGCTTCTCTGTAGTTTGTGGAGGCCTGCGCATCGTATGGAGGATTAGTTGATGACATTTTCGACATGTGCAGAAGTAATATTCCAAAGAGAATAGCAAGAAAGAGTTGTAAAGTGATGTGATATGATGTGATGAATGCCCTTGTTATGGTGTACAAATTGTATTGATTTCCCGCGCCGTATTATATTGCGCCGAGAGATCGAATAGTGAATAAAACAAACACAAACTGGCGCCTTACATACAACCCGGCCATGATTGCTTTTGCAACCGTATCATGAGCGGGCAGTAACAAAGCAGAATGAGAACCAGCAAATCGGAAGCAACGCTTGTTGATTGGAACACCATTTCAAGCAAGGAATGGAAGGGAATGCATGTGGAAGCATGTCATGGGAATCGAAACAAGGGATGAGAAAAACTCACCATTTTGAATATGATTTTGTGTGTTTTCCTTGCGAGTGGTATGAAAATTGAAGATATATCAATGGAGGATCTGTGAATGTCAGGTATGATTAGAAGAAGAGAGATTGTAGGTCTAGAAATCTGATAACTTTGGTCCGTGCCTATTATTATGTTTATGCCAGCCAGCCTCTCATCTATTTTATTCGTACTCTGTGTGTTGTTCCTTCAGCATAATTATTATAGTGGACCAAAGTTAATTTTTGGCAGGGCAACCAGGATCATCAGCCTCTCAATCATTCGAAAATGGTATAAAGGGGTCTCAGTGAAGGATTTCCCGGTGAGTAGCATCATTTTTAGTAGTATTTTTCTCAAAAACTTTAACTACCTACCTAGGTATGGATAATATATAATATACCAGAAGCCCGATTCTTCATTCAATTCCTCGCTGTTTCAATAGATCAAATACGAAGCATTACACCCAACATCGTATATCAAGACTCATCCAGAAGTACTGATTCTCATCACCCCCTATCAATCCCTCCTATTTTTTCCTCGCCAACAAAATCACTGTTCCCCACTCCGTCTCTACCTCTACATTCCTCCAATCCTCGCCCTCCTTCCCTCTCAACTTCGGTTCCACCTTTAACATCTCATCAAAAATCTCATCAATCACATCACCACCCCTCTCTTCCCCTACTTCCCTTTTCTTCCTCTCCTGATTTCCCCTCTGCCACCCATGAAACGCACTAAACGTCCTCCAATATCCCTCCAACTCTCCCAACTTCATTCTCCTCCCCATCAACACCCCTCCCTCTTCAATTCCCTCTCCACTCCTCTTCCCTCTCAACCCCGGCTCATACCTCCCCCATTCCACATTCTTAAACACATCCCCCAACGGTCTCATCACCTCATCACTATACAACCCCCTCAACCTCTCCCTCCCTGGCTGTTCCCAAAACCTCCCCATATACTTCTCTCTCTCCCCATAACAAAAGCGATCCAACACCTCCGTCGCCTTTGGAAAATCCACCAACAAATTATCCTTATACCCCCAAAACGCGACCGTTCCCCCCTCCCTCAATTTCCTCCCCAACGTCCTCCACACCCCCGGAAAATCAAACCAATGCGCCGCCTGTCCCGCAACCACCATATCCAAACTCCCATCCTCGAAAAAATCCAGATTTTCCGCAGACGCTTGTCTCCATTCTATGTTCCCCTCTGCATCATTCTCTGAAGCGATTTTGCGCGCTTGATTTATCATTACCGCGCTGGGATCCGTACCGTACACTTTTTCAAAGTGGGGAGCAAGCGCTCGACTTACGACTCCATGACCACATCCTAGGTCGAGCAATGTAGAGCGTGGCCCGATGTGATAGTTCAAGGTTTTGGTGAAGAAACTTTGTGGATAGGAGGGACGGAATGCGGCGTAGGAGGCTGCGGAGAAGGTTTTGTGTCTGTGGATTGAAGGTTAGTGTGAAGGAATATAAAGAATAGAGGGAACCCACGCAAACGTAGCCATCTTAGGTACACTGTAAGCGGCTTGAAGAGCTAAATGTACTTGGGAGAATAGATGTACTCTGAAGCAAATCAAACAATCTATCAATCTGTGACGGAATCCACTAATTGATCGAATGTTCTCAATAACTCTTGATTGCTCAGGTGATTATATCACTTCTTTCTTCCTCTCAATCCTCAAATCCTTCACACAATATAACAATATAATAAATCCCAACCAAACAAAATAACCACCAAACTAAGTAGTACCTAGGTAAATATATAAAATCCTCTCAAAATCACAATCACAAATCACAAATCACAACCACAATAAAAGCACACAACCACCCATATTTATATCACCATCTCCATCTCCAACCCTCATTTTCTACTCGAGTATCTGAGAAGATGACATCAATCGCATTTACCCCCTCCAGGGCTCGTCCAATCCTACATTTCCAATTGCAATTCTCATCCAGCCAACCAACCAACTGACCATCCAACCAATAACCCCTCCCTCTCTCCCTCCGATTCAAACAAACGATACCGCATCTCCTACTTGGGATATCGGATTCGGGGATTTTTTAGTACTGGTGTACGTACCTAGTAGTAATTATAATTATAACCTCCCTTACTAACTACCTAGTATTCTCATAAAAACCTGGTCCTCCTAGATACATACTATATATATACGAAAAATCTATCTAGATATCTAGATATCTACTTGCTCTGTACTGGTACATACCTAGGTATTAAGAAAGACATCTTTATTAGAAAGCAGAAAGCAGAAATTAGATTATCTATTCTAATGAATAAATTTTATAAGAAAATTTTATAATAAGATTTATATCAGATATTTATATCAGATATTTATATCAGATATTTATATCAGATACCTACCCAACATAAATAACCGCCTCTAAAATCTACAAACACAATCAAGAATAAGAGTTAAATAGAGGAGCTTGATTGAAAAATCTAGATGTAGATACCTAGGTAGGCATAGACGAATATAATTGTAGAGTACCAAGTACCGATTATCTAACTCTGTTGCTCAAATTCATCTGTTTTAGCTTTTAGCTTTTGATCTGGAAACAGATGTACTGTTTTAATTAATGTACTACTATACTATTTTACCTCCTCCTCTACTTGAATACATTACTATCTCGTTTCATTCACACATGCAGATCCAAATCCACACTCTCCGCTCCTTTTCCCTTCCATCCCCTCCCCTCCCCCAGAAAACTCTACACTCACCACTCCACCCCTTCAAAGTTTCACCATCCCCTCAAAGTTTCACCACCCCCCTCCCCCTCAACCACCCTCCATACCTAAAAAACAGTATCGGCACCGGAAAGAACGCCAACGCTATAAATCCCAATACACTATTCCCCCAACCCAATCCCAAAGCTGAGTATAAAGGCTGACCTGCTAATGGTAAGAAAGCTCCACCAATGGATTGGAAAACTTTCGTTGCTGCTATTGCCGAGGCGGCGTAGGTGGGGAAACTATCGACTAGGTACATGTTTATCGAGAGCTAGGTTTGAATTATCAGTATATGTTTACTTCTTGGGTGATGGGGAATAGAAAATAGGGAAAAGGAAGATCTGGGAGGGAGAATAAGAAGACGAGAAAAGGAACGTACAAACGCAGGAATCATCCCAATCCCAAAGAAGCTCGTCCCAATAATCGGCACGATCCAATGAATCTTCGCTTGGGCCGTCCATCCATAAACGAAAAGCGAAATCGCAATCAACGGACTCGTGAGCATCAGCGGAGGTAATCGATATTCCGGTTCGGCAATGCCTCCATTCTTCTCCGTCAGCTGTTTGAAAATCGGATCCGATACCTTTCCCGAGACGAAAAGCCCAATGGCAATCCCGCATCCAAGACCCAGATATGAGAGACCGGTAAGCGAAACGGAAAAATGATATTGATTGGAAAAAGTGAATGGAAAGGTCGTGATGAACAGATACAAGTATCCGAAAAGAACAGCATAGTATACCGAGAGAAGAAAGACGATTGGTGAACGAAACAAAGTCTTCAGAGGTCGGACTATAGCATTAGTGAAATGCACCATGGGCGTATCTGCATGATGAAGCGCCGATACTTTCGCCGTATTTCCCGTTTCTTTTATAATCCGTCTCGTTTTTCTCTCCAGAATCACAACCGGATATGTTTCTTGCAGGAGAAAAAATCCTCCAATCAATGTCACACAGGCAATAATAGCTTCCAACCAAAACGCCCATCGCCAACCCGCATTTGCAGCAAGGACTCCTCCGATGATTGGTCCGACGATTGGTCCCATCAGAGGTCCCATTCCCCAAAGAGCCATTGCGAGTCCGCGTTGGTCTCGATGGAACATATCGCCAATACTTGCGCCGCCGAGTGCAGTAGGTGCTCCTCCAGCACATCCTGCCAAGAATCGAAAGACGATGAGCATGTTGAGATCAGTTGACAAACCGCAGCCAAGTGTAAACAACAAGAACAAGAAATTGGCCGTCAGATAAACGGGTTTCCGACCATACAGTTCTGACATCGGCGCAGCAATAATGGGACCTGCAGCAAACCCGAGGACAAAGATTGAGACGACGAGAGTTTGTAAAATCATATTCGTAGATTGGAATTCTTCCATCACGAGAGGAACTCCTGGAGCAAACATGGTGGATGCGAGAGGACTGTAGAGAATTAGCAGATTTGAGTGAAATCAGGAGAGTATCACTTACGTGGAGAAAGTCATGACAGAGATAACTCCTGTATTGGCCCATCTTTTAGTATTCGACCAATTCATAGGGTTCAATGGATCAGTATCGCTATCCCAAGATACAATGTTAGATGGTTCTGGGCCTCTCAATTGCTGAGTAAGATTCTCATCAGCTCGATCTGGAGCGGTTGTAGCAGCGCCCATCTCAGCATCAGATACGCCTTGATATGTTGTATCTATTGGTGAAAGGGGTCGAGGAGGTGGAGCAATGGTAGCAGGAACATCATCGCCACTGCCTAGATCGCCAGACTCGATTGGTACATTGTTCGACATCATGAGATTCAGATTCAAAACGCCAGAGTAACGAAATAGATATTATAGATGAAGAGAAGTGACACGATTACACTGAAATTTGTGGTGTTGTCGCTATCTGTTCGTCGAAAGTGAAAAAGAACGTGTGG